TTTAGTTTAGAGTTTTTGAAGAAGAAGAAAAACTGATATTTTTAATGAAATCTCGATACGAAGATAATGTGTCTCCACATTTCGCGTCACTATGAAACAAAATAATAATAAAAATCAGTTATTAACTGACGCGTATACCCTTTCGCCCTCACGTAGATTATTCACTAATTCCACTGTAAATCTATTGCTTTTTCGAATGAATAAAATTTTCGTACATTTCTCATCGATTATCAACTTTATAAACATTTCTGTGATAAACATCTTCATTTTGCATTTGTTCTTTAGGGTGAACGTGGCATTCAAGGGCAAAAAGGTTTTTATTTTATTTTTTTCGGTGCTTTCCTTGTACGCTTGACACTGTTCTTTTTCTTTTGTAGGAGAATTAGGCCCTAGAGGACCGAAAGGGCATCAGGGACAAGCGGTATGGAACACTCCGAGAGAATTTAACTTGCGTTTTTGATTATTTGTTTTCTAATTTTAGGGACCGCCTGGTCCGGTATGTTTACTTATAATCGAATTATAGTTTTTATAATTGAAAATAGCTAGCTCATTTGCTATCGTTACCACAGCATAATTCTTGACTTTGTGTGGTCTATTTTCGCTTGTTTTAGGCAGGTGAGCGTGGACCGAAAGGTGATCGAGGTCCAAGAGGGGATCCTGGTGATGTTGGTGAAAAAGGACCGCAAGTAAGCTTTTATTACTACACCTTAATCTAATCATCCTTTATAATACATCTTTCATTCCAATTCATTTTAGGGTATTCCTGGTACGAATGGTCAAGTGGGCGGTGTTGGTCAGCCAGGACCACCTGGCATGACTGGTTTACAAGGTCCAAAAGGTTAGTAAATATGCGACGATGAGACAAAATTATTTTTGCTTTTCGAAATTAGGAAGCGATGGTCCAAGGGGTGCAAAGGGAGATCAAGGTCCGGCTGTACGTAAACTATTATGATTTTTTCAAAATGTATCATTTTTTTATTGTCTTTTTGTATTTAAGGGACAGCCCGGACCGCCGGTATGTTGAAAATTAATCGCCATTAATAAATTCTACAATCTAACTTATTTGCTAAGGGACCACCCGGTGAAGTGTTGCTTCCTAATGACATGAATATGTTTAGCCAACAAACAGACAGAGGATCGTCGCGTCTGCGACGTGAGGATACGTTCCGTGTTAACATTCAAGTACCAGATAAAGATCATATTGGGTATATTGCTATTCATTTATTTTTGGAAAATTTCACTTTTCAAATCAATCATTCTTGTTTTAGAACAACATTATTAGGACTATTAAAAAATATTGAAAATAAATTAAAGTCGTTAGAATCACCATTGGGAACAAAATCTAGTCCGATAAGAGCATGTCATGATTTGTCTGAAAAATCTGCGACAGGTTCATAGTTTCTAAAATTTTACATTTAAAATAGAATAATTATTAAATATTCTTTCAATTATGTAGGAAAATATTGGATTGATCCAAATCATGGCAGTATTTCAGATGCAATCGAAGTAAATTGTATCATGGAGTTTGGACAAAAAAAGACATGTATTGATCCTGTAGGAAATACAGCATCGGTTAGTGTCCAACATTTAGTTTTAATTCAAATAATCTAGCGCGTGGCGCAAAAAGAATTGTAGTTTCAGTATTTTCAGTTTTTCTCCTCTTCCTTATAATTAATTAGGCAAATTTTTTTACTAAAAGATAGTCCGTTCAATTCTATACAAAATATGTAGTTTCTGTTTTATTGCAAAATCTGAAGGTGGAAAATGAGATTAGAAATCCTATAAAGTGCAAAAGTGGAGAAAAAATAAGTTAGACAACCGTCTTTTAAGTTTTATTCGCTAAATATTCGTGGATGGAAGCTGAAGTAGCCATCGTGTAGGTCTTGGTAAACTCCAAATGCCACCTATGCTAAACAATTTTTACAGTTAGAACTGTAGGCAGAATAATTATTTCTAGTTTTAAATTTTCTAAAAATGATGATTTTCGACCAGGAATTTTCTTCATTTCAATAAAAAAAGTATAATGTAGTCAAACTTCGTGCTTTCAGGTTGACCTTTTTCATTTTGAAGGCCAATGATCAGTCCATATTGTCGAATTAGTAAAATTTGAGAAAGACTTCTTTATTATAATGTGTAGAAAAGGTCCAAATCATTTCCTGTTTCCGCCCGATTTTCGATAAATCAATCTTTGCGTCGGATATTTTCACTCAAAGTAAATTTTGTTGCATGCCATGAGAGGGAGCACACTTGAAACTACACAAAAGTACTCCAATCATGTTTTGAAGCTTATGAGACTATTTTAAAAAATCTAGCGCTCTAGGAAAATACGTTAATTTTTTCTCCATTTTTGCACTTTATAGGATTTCTAATCTCATTTTCCATCTTCGGATTTTGCAATAAAACAGAAAATACATATTTTGTATAGAATTGAACGGATTATCTTTTAGTAAAAAAATTTGCCTAATTAATTATAAAGAAGAGGAGAAAAATTGAAACTATAATTCTTTTTACGCCACCCCTTGTTCTTTTTTTTTGAAGGAAATTATTCGAGATTATAAAAAGACAAGTTCTGAAAAGCTATTTAGTGATTTACGTGGTGGACAACAAGTAAACACTACTTTAAAGTATAGTGATGCTTTTTCTATCGATAAAATCGTTGAATTTAGATTGACTATGGTCCATTATCACAATTAAGATTTTTACGAGTACTCCACAGTCGTGCAGCACAAAATTTTACTTATATTTGTGAAAATTCTGTAGCTCTATATGATAAAAAAAGAAAAAACAAAGATTTAGCTTTATCATTTGTTTCTATTGACGATACACAATATTCTGCAGCAGACTTATTAAAAATTGAAGTGAACGATAATTGTCAAGTATGTTAAAAAGAGAGTATCATATAAAAGCAAAATTGTATACTCTTCATTCATTTCTTATTGAATATTTTTATCACTTAGGATCATCGTAATGGAACAACTGATTTTCTACTTGAGACAGATAATACAAATGTTTTGCCTATTATTGATTTTATACCAAAAGATTATGGAACAAACATAAAACGTTTTGGGTTTAAAACTAGTCAGGTGTGTTTTTACTAACTTCAACGATTAATCTATACTACTTATTTATAAAGTTTTTCATTCCATTTGAATTTGATGATGAGTGAGGATTACAGTGGTTACATTAATCCATTGATATTTGACTATAAAACACTTCTTTTTCTTTTGTGATATCTCAATACTTTCTATGTCTCTTTTATGTTGTAAAATAATTTATTTGTTATTGACAGTCATTGTCATAAAAGAAAATGGATCATTTAAAACAGAAAAAAATGTGCGATGCGGCGCGTTATAACATTATGTATATTATTGTGATTTATGTGTGTTTTATTTCAAATTTTTTGCGTTTGTTTTTCAAATATATTTTGTTTTACGTCAGCTTTTCTTCAATTTTATGTTTCTATTATATGTTATTTGTTATTTGCAGAAAAGAAAAAAAACTATAAAAAGTGCGTATGCATTCGGTATTTGATACAGATGAAAGATTATCAAACAGCATAGAGAAGACTACCACAAAGACAAGAAGAAATAAATGATGAATTGAAATGATCAAGTTGAATTTTGATAAAAATTTGTCACTCATTCTCTGAACACAATGAGTAACATTTGCAGTCTTGAAATCACTTGTTGGTTACACTTAGTTTGAGTTTCTTCTACGAGACATTTAATTTTTCTTTCCATAAGTGTTTGGAAATATTTCGATCATATTTCTAATATTTCGAAGATACTGTATTTACATTTATATTATCTTATGATTCTTATTAGTTCCATTGAATTGGAAATATAACGTTTGTATTTCAATCAAAAGTCTGATACAATTACTAAAATTTACGATAGTGCATACACGCAAGTTGTGTTTATTAATCATCGAATACAAAGACAGCCTTTGACTAAGAATTTTTGATAGCGCTAGTTTATAGAGTTGTAAATATTTTAACTGAGAATAATCAGTTGAAACATCATAACTTGTGAACAAAATTTGATCCGGAAACGTTTTGTGACCTGCATACACTCGAACTTATGGCTGTATTTTGGTCGGATAGAGACATATGAATTTGTGGTCATTGTTCCTAATCTTCATCTGATGTCCATAAATATTTTACCTTTTCAGAAAACTAAAATTCGAGCTCTGAAGCCGAATAATTGAGTTTAATTGCATCTGGATTTTAATTTCTCCTGTAACATAAGCATACATAACTCGATAAGATCTGCCGATAGCATCAAAAATTCTTATTTAAAAATTTGACTCAGGTTCTAGAGGCCGATCATATGGTAAAAATCATATGGATATCCGATTCGTTATCAAGATCATAAAGAATCTGCAGAAAACTATGTTCAGGAAAAATTGAAAAAATTTTGTTTTCGTTTTGTGCAAAAAATAGATGTAACTGAATAAAATACAATGATGACAAATATCGTTTGTCACTTTGAGGTAACATATTAAAAATTCAACGGATTATTAGACGTATTTTTTTACTCAAAAATGAAATTAAAATTGTATTTTTAATCAGTTTATCTTGGAATCACTTTTATTGTTGTTATTAGATGAAAAAATTTATTATTCGATTATTTCACGAGACGATAAAATATCTCATTAATACTTGATTTGGGCAGTTAATGATCACTAACGTGTGAAAGTTTTGCAAAAAAATTTTCTCAAATCAACCATGAACGCTTTTTTTTGTATTGATCATGAGTATCAACTTGACGACAAACAAAAACTGAAGTTTTAGTGTAAAAACCAAACTCTTAGTTTTTCAGTGTTTTAATTTGAAATTTTCGATCTAACAATTGATTTACTGAAATAAAAATTATTTTATGAGAATATAATTTTTTATATGATAAACTAATTTGGATCCAGAAATAACACTAATAACATTCTGTTACTGAACGATTAGAATTTTATCGATTGTTGAACTTCTGGATGATTGATTTCTAACATTCAAGTGCTTTTATTCGATAAGTACTCATTCGAATAAGACTTCAATACTTCCACCGTTGGAAAAAAGTTCAAAAAATCACATGTCACTGCGTTACGCAGAAAAAAGAACTCAAAGAAAAAAAATCATCTTTCGAATTTTTCTTTTGTTTAGTAGCAGATAACTTAAAATTTTCTCTACAAGCTTGCTAACAGTTGCTTTGTTTCGATTCGCAGATAAATGCAAATAAATAAGTATCACCAGCAAGAAGGGCCAGAAAGCGTTGAGGAATTACGCTTCTCCAAATCATACAATTAGCAAAACGTCTCAGGGATAGATCTTTGATTTCAGTTCAAAAAGGTTTTATCGACTATGACTTTCGCTTCTCTTCGGCTCTGGTGAGTACACGACAATTAGGTAAGTTAAAGATATGAGTTAACTTATGAAAACCATCATTATATTCTCAATGTTTTGATTTTTTTTTCATGAACATCTTTATTATTTTTTTAATTTAAATTTTTTGCGCGAATTTAAGAATTAGAAAAGTGTATCGTACTCGTTTGATGGTGGATTTTGTTGAGGCTCTGAATTTTGTTGTTGCTGTTGTTCGAATGATTTTTTTGCCCATAAATTTGTTAACGTATGCAGTTTTCTATGTATTAATTGTTGTTTTAGTTGATTTTTAGTCACACATTCTTTTAATTCATCAATTTGCTCTTCTAACACATGCTGATTTGATAACATTCGTGTTTGTAATAATAGATGTAATTCACGCCATTGTTTTTCAAATTCATTAATAGTTAAGGTCGGCGTTTCATTTTCTTTTGATTTTGTTTCTAAACCCATATTTGCTGATCCGCGTTCCATTGGTGATTGTGGTGCTGAGGACAATTGTGATGTGGATGTTGTTAATGAAAATAACAATGACGAGGATGAGAGTGAAAGAGCGCGAAGTAAAATATTTGAAATTTTATGATGACATAAACGTGTTGCTAATTCTACAGGTGTTTCACGTCGTCCATTTTGAATTTTTAGTGAAGCACCAGCATTGATTAATATTAATGTGCAACCTAGAATAAGACTTTAATGTTATACTCTACAAGATTGATTGCTGAGGAGCTGAAAATTTACTTAAAATTTTAATTTTATAAGTGAAAACACAGAAGTGATTTACGCATGATCAACTAACAAAGGCAAGAATATTCAAATGTAATGAAAATTTCTGATCAATTCAACTGCGTCCATTCCAACCTAGATTTTTAAGTTATTCGTACTATATCATATTTTGGTACCCTCAGCGTCTCAACCACGTCCTGAAGAAAGTTTAAATCTGTTCAAGATCTTTGCAGAATATTAATCTTGAGTAAATCTTAATTTCGTTTTTCAACTAAGCATTGTCTAAAATATCTTTGCCAAGATCTTGACAAAATCTGCTGAATCTCAACTTGATTACATTGCAAATCTGGCTTAAAACCTTGTTTCAGACTTGAACAAGATTTTTCCTAATAATTTATTCATTTTTTGTCGTTCTTTGCATCTCTCATGCAAATATAAGTAACACCATTATCAGTGCATAACATTGATGAATTGTCAAGTCTGATCTGCACACATAGTGTTCCATTGTATATCTATTCATATAGTTCGAAATGGAAAGTTCCAACATTATCTATACGGTATCGTAGAACTGTATGACATTGTACAGTTTGAACTGTATCAACACAGTTAAGTAATTTCAAACACAAAAAACTAAAATAATAGGTTTTTAGCCCTTAAAAAAACTAGCGAAGACTTTGTACAGAAATCCAAATTCTGATTAATTAAATGATAATTAAATACATTAAATTAGAATAAGTAGCAAAAATTGTTGAAAACCTTTATCTCTAAGTCTCATTGAAGAACTTGCAAGATTTCGTCAAAATTCCTCAAGATTTTGAAAGAGTTTGAACAGATCTTGAGAAATTCTTCAAGACTTTTGTTCTAAGATGGATCATTTACTTTTTGTGCAGGCGTTGTCTCAAACATCTTACAGCGTCTAACAGTACATTTTTCGTCTGCATACATACCAGCGTGTTTATACCTTATTGCTGAGTGTAAGGGAGAATCACCATCTCTGTTTATGGGATTTAACCTCGAACCAGCGTAAATCAGTAGTCGACAACATTCATTATGTCCAAATTTTGTTGCCATATGTAGTGGTGTGTTGTAGTCATAATCGATTTGTTCTAAATCATTTTCATACTTTAGCAACAATGTTAAAATTCTGCTATAACCATAAGCTGCTGCAATATGTAGATTTCCTTTTCCATCGCCATCTTTCAAAGATGGATTTGCTCCTTCTTTTAATAAACGTTTAACAATATTTATATGTCCAAGGTAGATGGCTGTATGTAATAATGAACGTCCTGTTGCTTTAGAAATGGTATTTATTGAATGACCAGCTCGTATTAACAATTTTAGCGTTGGCTCATCATTACCATGTATTGCACATAAAACTGGATCTCCAATCGGTTCATCGCTATTATTATTTTCTTGCTGTTGTTGAAGAATTTGTTTTAGATATGTATCGATTGTTATTGAATTATGACGCTTTTTTAATAAACTTCTTGACGATTCATCATTGATAGATGCCCATGCTATACGCACATTGTCATTGGTTTTTGTCATAATTGTCAAAATTCATACTTCTGTAATCAAATAAAATGTTCAATTTAATTATACAAACTACTTCAAGGTTGTTTGCAAGCTTTTTCTTCTTCGATACTCACGAATAAAAAAACTCGTATAAGAGTTAAAATGTTACGACATTAACATTTTCGTCTATATTACATAAGGCTACTTTCTTGTAAAAATAAAATTTTACATTTTTCTCTTTCTGAATTTGATTGAGTTTTTATTTCTCATCTATGAGTTAAATTGGAAATGAAGTCCTTTTGTTGATTTAAGAAAGAAAAAAGAAAATTTACCTATGTACAACATATTCAAACTAGTGAATTCTACTTGCTATTAGTAGAAGTGACCAAAATGTTCATGTTATACGATTAAGCAACAAGTTTTTAAACTTATTTATCTAGTATGTCATAGTTCTATCACAAGGTCTTCGTTGATGTTATAACCCTCTTCAGATTCTCTCCTTCTTATTATAATAATAGTAAAACTGATTATTATTAGTGAATGATTTTTCAGTTACTATTTTTCTAGTAGTGAGTTTTATTCTTTTTTATCAGAAGTTATCGATCAGATCCTCATCACTACTCAAGTTGGCAGATCGGTCTTAGAACCGGTACTTTTATTGAGGAGTGACTTATTGCAGTAGTTCTTATGACAGACAAGTACACTCTTCGTCCAATAAAAAGTCATACGGGGTTGCATAAAGCTTTTCAAAAGTAATTCATGCAAATGATCTAAAACAGAGCAATCTAAATACTAGTGAATAATTTGTTAAAAAACAAAGCGAGACGTTTCTATCAAAAGTAAAAAATTTCTGGTATATATATATTCAAGTGCTAAGGACTTGTTAGTAATTTATTCTAGCCCACGTAAAAAATTTCTCAAACGCATTTATCATTGCTGGCAGACGCGTTTTTGAACGCGTCCAAAATGAAACATCTGGTCTCATCGAAATTCGTCTAAAACCCGTTTGCAACCATACGTATTTCGATGCGTTCAGATGTTTCAGGCATTCAAATGCAAACATTCAAATGAGAGGGTCAAAGTATATTAGATGTCATATACTCACACATTTACCATGCACAGTTCGATATGCTTTAGAAAGCGAACAGATTTTGCGTTATATACTTGGTTTATGATCCTCTTTGAGTTGATAGTAGATCCGAATTCTTCGAATGTTTATCGCATCTTTGTCATACTACGTTAATTCTGAGTGAACTCGACGTTCTAGCATCGGACGAGATCAGTTAAACGAGAAAAAAACACTTTTCTGCGGCAGCACACCGATCTGAAAAGCATTAGCTGTACCCTTGTCTTGACTAAAAATGCATTAACGACTCTTTTTGAAAGTTGACACGAATGAAAATGAAACGTCAGCCCTCTTATTCTCTGATTTTTCATGGGTTTCAAAACATTTTTTCTACAGATTACAGCAGGACACTTGTGCCGTAGCCAATAGTCTGATCTATATAATTTTTCATAATCCGAACCTACCCGATATCCTGTCTTGGTTTAATATGCAGGACTTCACATAAAAGGATAAAATATCTATAAAGGACATGATCGGTTTTCACTAATTCCGGGTAAGCAACCAATCTATATTCAAAAGATAGCGCATGTCGAGTATGATCGAATACAACTATTTTTAAATCTTGAAACGGTGCACAAATAGTATTTTAGACCAAATCATTATT